CCAGCTGCCAGGTCAGGGCGTGAGTGCGCTAGGCTGGGGCCGGGGTGGACTGCGCCGCGGGGTTTGCCCTGACCCCTGGCGGCGGGCGGGGGAGGCAGGCGCTCTCCGCCTGGTACGAAGGGGTGTGGTGTCCTCTCCCCGATCCTCTTAAAAAGCTTGCGGCGCCAAGGAGTTGACTGCGCGCGGAGCCACTTCTGCAGAAGTGTTTAGTTCGATTTTGAGCCTCGGGGTTTGTTCCGCCGCCTGGCTGACTTCTGATCGCTTGTTTTCCTTTTTGAAAATTTCTTTCCACTGCCGGTGCCACTCTCCCTCTCCTGGCCGTCCGCCCTCTACAGGGACATCTCTACACCGTTCCCATCCGGGAACAGGGCAATATCTACAAGCCCAACAACAAGACCATGGCAGACGAAATGAACGAGAAGCAGCTGTACGACGCGCACACCAAGGAGATTGACCTGGTCAACCGCGACCCCAAGCATCTCAACGACGACGTGGTCAAGGTAAGGTGAGGCGGCCAGCGAGGAAGGGATGTCCCCCGAGGGGACGCTGCCAGGGCCCGAACAGCTGTCCTCGGCAAGCAGCCTGTGCTTCCTTCTCTACCTTTGCCACACACACGCCGTTTTCTGGGCGGGATGTGGGGAGCTCCCGTGGTCGTCAGAAATAGCTCATCTCCCCTCCCCCCTCCTTCTGGGTAGTTCAGCTGGAATTTAGCTAACTTGAGTTTTGTAGGCAGTCACACAACTGCACTCTTCTCCTTGCAAATGAGCCCCTGGTCTCAGCAACAGACAGACCTGCACTCCTTGGAAGGGTGAGACGGTTACTCTACAGGTCACCCTCTCTCTATTCCCAGGTTGAAAGGCCAGTGAAGAGTGCGCCCACTGCACATAGAATTAAAGCAGCAAGGTCATTTTGCAAGGTCTTGTGCCAAAGGTGAAAGCCAGAACACAAGTGGGCAAGTTCCCTCAGCTAAAATTAAGTAACCTGCAGTGATTTCTTAAAAACAATAAAATGTGTAGAAATGCTTCCAACTAAAGACAGATGACACAAATGCATATACATATATACTTATATATCTATATCGACATCTATATCTATGGTATTTTAACTGGAAAGAGATGGCACTTGTGCACCACTAAGCAAATTTACAAAATCAAAAGTAATGCACACCTCTTGGTTTCTTCCATAGTCACCTCTAGGTAGGTGTGGAAAGTTGCTTCTTTAGTGACTACCTGACTCAGCCTTCCCTGAGCTAATGGGACATTCAGGTTGTAGTTCCTTTTTATACTTTCAGGCTGTGTTTGGTGAGATTTAAAACAGGCTAATTGAACAGGTTATGGGCCGAACTTAGATCTGACTTGGGGGTCAGTTTTGTATTTCGCTATGCTATTCAACTTTGACCCTTTCAGCAAATCAAGTCAGAGGAATTTACTGTCTGAATCCATCTGGGCTGTGAAGTCGTGGGCCCGAGCCATCCTTGGCAGAGGGCTTGCTCTGCGAAGCCAGGAGGGCCAAGGGAAGTCCTAGGCTGGAAGGTCGAATGCAAAGACCCAGTTCTGTACAATCCCAGGGTAGCCAATGGGGAACGTGAGCAATTCCCACCCACCAGGCCTCCTATCTGCGGAGGGAAGGAGTTACAGGGCAGAGACCGTTCACATTTATGAATAATACATTTCAAAAAGTGGAACGATTTCATCTGTAGCTGGAAGGAAAATGTAACTGTCCGAGTTGACTCTCTTGGCTCTTGGGTGGAGGAAAAATGGAAGCTGGAACCTTAGCAGGTTTTTCTACTAGCCAGATTATGGAACATTTAAAAGCAGCAGCAATAACAAAAGTAGCTTATAAACGGAAAGTTAGAATTGCTAAAAACTATTTACTGAAAACATTACCTTAAAAGGGGTAAGGGCATTTTTGCTTTTCCGCCCCCTTCTCATGTGGCTTTGGACACAAGGAGAGATGCCAAGAAAAGTGGTAGATTTCAGAAAGGGCTGGCTCCACGGAACCTCCCTGTTGTCCCATGGCAGGGCGAATGAGGTTCCTGGAGCAAGCAAAGCTCAGTGAGTCAGAGAGGCCAGCAGTGTGGCTGTGGGTCTCCACACACAGCATGACTAAGCTGAGGAAGAAAGGCCCGCTGGGAAAAGAGACTTCAACGCAGATGGAAAAAAGGCATAACAGGCTCAGAGGAAACAGCAGTTTACCAAATAGCATTTCAAAGAGCAAGTGTGAAGATCCTCATATTAAAGAAATTCAGAGGAAGTGTTAGAGCATGCTCCTGCTGGCCTGGAGAGAGCAGACCCCGCCCACCTGCTCACAGAAATATGAACAAAACAAGACAGTCAGAAAAAAACACCTTGAGAAGAATTTGGTAGGCTTGCTTACTCAGAGGCCCCGCCTAAAGAGGACTCAGGATGCCCTGCGGAGAGCCCAAAGAGTGCCCTCTGCCAGGAGGCTGGAAAGGGAGTTCACGCCCTATGGAGACCCTTAGCTTAGAATTTTTAAATTTGAGTCCAAGCATGAGCATAATGACAGAAACAAGGATGTACCTCTCCGTGTTACCACGACAGAAAATAATAAATTTTATCCTGATGACCTAAAGACATCCAGAGCTTCCCTGTTAATGCATTGTAGCTTAAAACTGCATGTGATAATAAAGAATCTACCATTAAAGGTACCGAATCAGGTAGCTTTAGGCAAGTCCTGCTCTAGGTAGGGCAAGTCCTGTTCTAAAGGCCAGCAGCTCGATAAAGTGGCTCTGTCTGCTTCTGTAGTCATTAGCCACTGTGACTATTTAAATTTAAATTTCAAGTAATTTACGTTAAATAAAATCTAAAATTCAGTTCCTCAGTCACACTGGCCACATTTGGAGTTCTCAGCAAGAGGCTGGTGGCTTCTTTATTAGACAACACAGACATAGAACTTTTCTGTCATCACGGAAATCGCTATTGCACAGCACCAGTCTAGAGTGTTCCCTGCATTTGAAAAGGTTCCTGTACCAAAGTTAGAAAAATAACCCAAGTTGGAGAAGACATTAAACCCTGAATAGCGTGTCTGCATAATATCCTCTCAGTCTCATAAAACAGCTGTTTAGGGAAGGAAAAAAACCCCAGGAGCTAGGTGTTTCATGAATTTATATTTCAAGAAGGTGGAGTATCATCACCTATTCCTCTGGTGATAGAGACATGAATTAGTTTATACCATTTGTTCCATTAAATTGGTTTCTTAACTTAATAAATGTTTGCTGCACCACATTATGAGATATTTATCCCAAAATAGTAAGCTATGAATGCTTTTTAAAATTTCCTCTAATTAAAGTGATCACAACTTCAGATACTTCATTCTCCCTCCAAGATTTCTGTCATCTTCTTATGTTCACATTTTCATTCATATGTTTATTATGTACTTATTTGGAATTTCTAGATCAGTAAAACAGCTTCAAATGTATGATCCTGATATCACATTAGCCATCAATCAATTCATTTATTAAAGTCTTATCATACGCTAAACTAAACACTGTGCTACATACTACAAAGGGTAATTCCTAAAATAAGTCCTAGCAATCACAAAGATTAGAGTTAATGAGACAAGATACATACAGATAAAAAGTTTTAAAACTACACACATACAATATCACAAAAGCAAGTCATTGCCAAATGGTAACTAATGGTTTTTTTGGGGAGATATGACTGCCAGGAAACATATAACTAGATTTTAAGTTTCATTACCTGTGTTATTTATTCTCTCCCACATAAGGTTTTGAATTTTCACTTTCTTTTTCAACTAGTATGCTGTTGTCTGTAGTCTCTATTGTAAGCCCTCTCATAGTCATTTTGGAAATAGACCAAATATATACCATAATAAATCAAAAGTAAGCATTGCGTAATAAAAAGGATTTTAAAAAGTAAAGCATATTAATTATCTTGATCTTGGTAGACATTCTACAATGTAGATATATATCAAATGATCACATTGTACACTTTATACAATTATATATTTGTCAATTTTTCCTCTATTTTTTTAAGTCAATGGTATTGACATTACTGTATTTTGCCATATATAATGCACAACCACGTTTTTCGCCCAAACTTTCAGGGAAAAAAATCATTCACTTTAATTTTTTAATTCAAATTTTTATTTGTTTACATTTAGGTAGTTTTTCTGGTATTATAAAGGAATTTTAGCATTTATTTTTTAACATATTATGGTACAAGCAATTTTATGTAACAAATAATTACAAGACACAGGGACAGATACAAGGTACAAGGAATTTTATGCACTGTAACAAAGTTACGATATTTACGCATCACAGAAGGCCAAGCGTCATTACAAATTCATCCCAAGTTCAACAAAACCAATTATCATATCCCAGGGTATTATTTTGCATAAGGATATTGTTATTGATTTCTAGAGTTACATTTTTAACTCATAAGTGTAAATAAAAGAATTAATAGATACAGAATTAGTACTACCCATGTATAATGTGCATCCTCAGTCTTCCCTCATAAATATAGGCAAAAAAGTGCATGTTATACATGGCAAAATACAGTCAGTGTTAGGGAGACCCTACCATGAAGAGGTGGGAGAAGGAGAAAGCATTAAAGTTTAATGCAAAGGAGCATGAAGGAGATGCAATCTGAGTTGGGTTGTAAAAGACAGATGGAATGCAAATAGCTGAGAAAAACACAGAAACCATTCTATATGACGAAAGCATGGCAATGGGAATGTCTCATTCAGGGCCTGAGTCTGAAAGGTTTAGTAGCCTGTTTTGATTGGAATTAGAGTTCATGTGGCTGAGTGGTAGGTCCTACAGATGAAAAGACTCATCGTGGTCAGATGGCAGAGTCCCGAATCCAGTACTTATGACAAGTTTGAACTTTATCATGTCAGCAGTAAAAAGCCAGGAAGACTTCAGCATGAGGATGGCATGATGAAGGTGGGCATTTTGGAAGATGGCTGGTTAAGGTACAGGATGTAATAAACCACAACCAGTCTGGATGAGCAGAGAACAGTTACAACGTATTGCGGGGTGGTCCAGACATGAAATGAGAACAGTATACAGTATATCAGCATTGGGGATAAAATCATATAAGCTCAAAATGACAGAATTTTAGAATTAGAAGGGAACATAATGGTTATACCAAGCTACCCTCACATGGTTACTGTCCAAAACAGATATTCTGAAATGTATCACAAGGGAAGAAGAGACAAGGTGACGTGATTCTTGCAGACTATTGTCATGAGGAGAGAAATGAGTTGAGATGGTTCTGAGGTTAGCTCTGAGACAAAGACATCTGAGAGGAGATATTTATTGGAAAATAAAAATATGCATAATAACTTTTTTAAAGCTTGAATGTAATGATTCTTAAATATACACGAAGTTTTTCTCAGCAGTCAAGAAAAGGCGTGCACATAGTAATCAGATCTGTTTGGGTTTCAAAATAACGGATTCTGTGATCCCTTTCAAATGGAATGCATTCTAGAGCAATTGATGATTAATATCAATACA